ACCCCCACCCCCCATCATGTAAACTGTGTACGATAGAATTATAAGTTTATTCGTTACAACACTTATGTATACGGTATGTGGCCGAAAAACAATAAAGCTCCCATCTTAAGTAATCTATGTAATGATAATCCCATGTTGAGCTAGTTATAGATTCATACTAAACCAACCGGGCTCTGTCCGATCCTTTCGGTTTTTACAGAAAACATATTATTTAGATAACCTGTGAACCGGTGTTATATTTCTAGTTGAAAGTAATCATGATATACAAGCAAAATCGAGAAATAAGCAATTTGCCTAGACCGATATGAGCATTAACAGTATACAACATCCATCTTTTGTGTATCAATGTGACGTCCATCTGTCAATATATGGCTATAAACCAAACATGCAGAAATATCAATTACGATTGGGTTAAATTATAAATTGCACACTATAGTATGGTAATGTCAACTGCATAACAGATAAGCTATTTAATTGTAAACGATTATCTACTTCACTTACGTATACCTACAATGCATAGCAGGACGTAAAACACAAGTTTCCGGCTTTCTTAACTCACAATCTGTATACTCACAAAGCACCTAGGCTTCCGTTATACTCCGAAACTTCTGTTCATCAAAATAATTGAAACATTCCACTTCTATAACAATTTCATACTCTCACTAAACACAATGGGTGCGCTATATCCTAACACAGTTGGCCTACATGCCTGCTGTACGAATTCCCTTGTTCCTCATTGGAATGAGTGGTTTGCTACAGACCCTGTGGTACATGACATGTTTTGATACCAACTTACATGTCCTGTGAGAGAGGGGTTAATGGTCGTTACACTTTGCCCGTATGTACTTCAGGTTTATATAGAATTACAATGTTTGTATTTACTCTTATATATCAATGAAGGTTTACTACAATACTGAACAACTGCCTGTATTCGGTAAGTATGAATACTTCAAATTAACTAGCAGGTGTGATTTATTATTTTAGAGCTTTTTAAACGGAGTTAAGAACCACCAACAGTTTTTTTATGCAGCAAGCAATATGAAGTGAAAAGATGTCGATACCATTTTACCGAACACGAACCGCTATATGTTCCTGATCACCGAGCCTCCGTGAGACGGGGTTGGAGACATAAAGTGTATGGGACACAGCTCCTCCTCTAAGTCAAGAAAAAGTTCCTATGTACGCTAACCTATGTATGCTAACCTATGTATTATGTATGCTTACCTATGTATTATGTATGCTTACCTATGTATGCTAACCTATGTATTATGTATGCTAACCTATGTATGCTAACCTATGTATTATGTATGCTAACCTATGTATGCTAACCTATGTATACTAACCTATGTATTATGTATGCTAACCTATGTATGCTAACCTATGTATTATGTATGCTAACCTATGTATGCTAACCTATGTAT